TTCCACGGGACACCGATGCATAAAAAATAAGGAACGAAAAGTAGCAGCTGCCTAGGGTCGCCAGTTAATTTTCAAATGTAAATAATTCAGCTGTTTCAAAATGATATTTAAAAACAAATTACTGTGACAAGGAGCACAAAAGATGACAAATTCCTTTGTAATGGATTTTGTTTATATTTGGAGAGAAAAATAATTTAGGGACGATTTCCATGGAAGGTTTCAGAACAAGTGTAAACTGATAGTGGGAACTTCAATGTGTGCATGTTTGGGATGGAAAGTAATTGCGTTTAGTTGGGAGGCAAACAGTTATATAATTGCAATAAGTATGTGTTAGTTATTATTTATCTCAATTTTTCTTCTTTCATCAACCAAACTTTCTTTTTTTCTGTTAGTACTTCCAGTAATGACTTCTGACTCGGATGAGAACCAGCATCCCACTAATGCTTCCTGATTTAAGATTTCTCAGTGAGCCCACTGGATTGCTTTTCTGCAGCAAGCCCTTGATTTTAACATTTGTCTCATTGTGGACCATCTAAATTAATAAACACTGATGGGATAGAGAGAGGCATGGATCTTTTCCTAGTATGATTTGGACATAATTCAGTTGGGAAGGGAGAGAACAAGATGAGTTTTCCAAAGATAAATGCTGGTTCTGAAGTGTTCTGCGCTGTGCACTTTGCCTACTCCGCTTTGAGTCCGACATGGGGTGAGCTTTATCTACTGCTGTCATTTGGCTCTGAGCACATCTTTTCCTGTCAGTTTCACTTACCTGGTTTCACATGGCACCAGCTTCTGCTGCAAATGAGAAATGGAAAATTATTTTTCATGCCACAGAAGTTCTTTTCCATGGAAATCGAGACAGGCAATCTATTTCAGGCTCTACCTAAAAAATGCTCACAGGAGGGGCACATTTATTGCTGTAGGTAGTTACTGTATTATGTATTAAGAGCTACAACATATATTACATTGGCTGTCTTCTTAACACTGGTTTCAGAGTAGCAACCGTGTTAGTCTGTATTCGCAAAAAGAAAAGGAGGACTTGTGGCACCTTAGAGACTAACCAATTTATTTGAGCATAAGCTTTCGTGAGCTACAGCTCACTTCATCTGATGCTGTAGCTCACGAAAGCTTATGCTCAAATAAATTGGTTAGTCTCTAAGGTTCCACAAGTACTCCTTCTTAACACTGGAATTCACAATGAGACCATCCAGTGTTTTATTAATGCTATTGACCAAATTAATTGTCTATGAACGCAGATAGGTCAGGGATTGCTTTATTTAAGGAATTAAATATTGTATTTGTTTTTCTGCAACATGTACTGAATGTTTTACACATAGACTCTTTGTGAGGCAATGGTGTTAAAATATTGCTTAGGCTATCAAAAGCCCAATTATGAGAAGGGTTGAATGTCCTCAGCTCCAGTTTAAATCAATAGTGCCGAAAGGTGGAGGAGGCATCATTCTTAATTGCAGTAACCCTTTTCTTTCCAGGGCAGTGCTTAATGCAACTAGAGTGGAATTCGACTCTGTGCAGAGAACCCGTACACTACTTAAGTCCTACGTAAGCCCTCAGGGATTTCACCTCTGTTGCTTAAAGTCCTTATCTTTTTTCACAGACCTCTTATTTAAAAAAGAAACCAAGTAATGAATGGTAGATACTTCTCAATAATCATTTTTCAGCTGTTTACAGAAGCAATTGGATTTTATCCCCCCTGGTCAGAGATGATTGATTGCTTGAAGGGGACAAGAAGGATCCTCTTTCCCACATCCCATTTATGGTACTGCACAATTTGACAAAGTGCTTCATGGAGGTTGCCTGCTTTTCGCTGAAGCTTCAGGTGTTGGCGAATGGTAGCTGCAGGGTACTGTGCGAGGGGAGGCCACTAACCTGATCTGTAATGGCAACACCAATGTTACCGTGTAGATTTGTCTGAAACTGAGTCTTGGCATGTATATGTTTCAGTGGTGAGTACCTCTGAAATGCATGTATGATTATTGCAAGTTTCATATATCATATAGTGTGCTGTTACCTTGAATTATAATGGTCTCTTTGGGGCAAAGGCCATGTCTTTTTCCATGTTTGTAAATCACAGTGTACACTTACTCTCTATTAAACCTAATAACTTCTGGCAGCTGTTCAGTTCTGGTCAGAGACCTCTCTGCAGACAAGTTTAGGAACATAAGAATGGCATTCTGGAGCACAGCACTGGTCCATCTACTCCCAACATTGGTGATGGGTTTTACTCAGCCTTCTCATTGTTCTTGCCTTATGAGAGAAGGTACATTGGAGTGCCCGCATTGCCACCTCTATGCCATCCATTGTTTTGGACACCACTCATGTTGTATAGTTTTGTATGTGAAGCAGGAAATACTGTATCTGACCTCTGCATTCTGCACTGTGCTCGCTCCACTGCTCTTGCCATGGTCATTAATGAGCCGCTCCCGGACAAGACCAAGGATCATTGCTTTGTCCTTGCCATCCTCTGCCTGTCTGCTAACTTGGACATAATTGGTTCCCTCCACATCCCATTATGGGCCCAGCCTAAAACCCATGAAAGTAAATTGAAACACTCCAACTGGTGTGTACTTATATAGACCTCATCACTGTAGTACCTCACAGGTTTTAATGCATTTATCCTCACAACACTTTTGAAGTACGGCATTGCTATTATCTCCATTTTACAGATGGAAACCTAAGGCACAGAGGGGCTAAGTGATTGGCCTGAGGTCACACAGGAAGTCTCTGGCAGAGCAGGGAATTGAACCCAAGTTTCTCAAGTCCTAGGCTGGTGCCCTAACCTGTGGACCATTGTGCCTCTCTTATATAGATATGTAGCAAATTCTGTATGTAACCGTGAGCACCACTCAGGCCTGATTCTCCTCACACTTACACATATATTTTTCTCAAAAAGAAAAGGAGGACTTGTGGCACCTTAAAGACTAACAAATTTATTTGAGCATAAGCTTTCGTGAGCTACAGCTCACTTCATCGGATGCATTCAGGCATTTTCTGTGACCTTCAGTGGAGATACTCCCAATTTAGCCTGCTGTAAGTGAGGAGGAAAACTGGGCTTCTTGTGACCTTTGCTGTTGCAGCCCAGGTCCTAGCATTGTATATTGCCATCCATCACTATGTTACATCCTTATTTATATGGGAAGCTGCTCAGGGCAGGGACATGTTAAATGGACTGTAAGGTTTTGTGTATGTCTATACCACTTCATTGATTTTTCTCCAGTGAAAATAATTTTTAAAGCCTTAAAAGGGCTTCGGGTACACCAAAGCCGTGGATGCCAAACCTCCTGAATTATGGCATATTTCCAGTCAATCTGGATTTTGCGAAAGTGACCCATCTCTATTAAGTAGCCAAGGTGGGAATTTCTCTTCTTGATAGACTGCAATGCATACAGGAACTATCATGGGGAAAAAATATGCACACAGGTTTAATTAAAGCTGCAGTATCCCATTTCACCATGGCTTGGTACATAAACAGTCTTCCCTATAATGAGAATAAAAAGGTTAAGATGAAACAGTAATACACAGAATGATATAGACAGGTACAATACTTGATTTTATTTTTATCTGTTAAATGTAAAGAGAACAAGAGAAGAAAACTGGAGTGTAAGGTTGAAAGAGAATTTGGTTCTCTGGTCACACTAAAAATAATTCCAGTTTCTCCTGAACTCATTGGAACTCCTTAATGTCTGTCTAGCATCTAACACTAAAACATGAACAAAATCTATTTAAAAATGTATTGACAGTTATTGCAGTAAAATGGATGTCACAGCCCTGTTTCCTATGTAAATTTCTGGACCAATGAACATCCTTATGGAGGACTTTCTGAGCACCAGGTCTATGGGTTAAATGTTTTTTATCCTGAGATGTTTCAAATGATCAAAGCCACAGCACATAAACATGAAATTCTTCCCCAGGTGAACAACTTTGTGCCTCAGTGCTATACATTTGTATCTTACTTAAATATAAATTAAATAGAAATCCCACCTACAAACATACCTCTTGATCTCTTGGGGGGTATAAAAGATCATTTATATGGTATTAGAAATCATGTAAAATTGGCAAACCATTATGGAAAATAGCTCAGTTAAAACAAAATGATTTTAATTCCTATATGTATATACCAAGGAAGCTCTTAATTATTCCAGTGTAAGATATGTGATATATCAAGAATTTATGAGGTAACTTGGGTCTTAAATAACATTAAATTTTTTTGAGGGAGGCTAAGATAAGAACTGAATGGCACAGATACAACTCACATTTATCCGTGTGAGTGGAGCAAAATATTACATGTCCATTTCACTCTTTCTTTTCAGGACTGAAACGCCATTAGATGACAGAGTAGGAAAATTAAGTGTCTGGAATGGGTATGGATAAAAGATTATGCACGGTAAAGCCACCACATAAATTGAAAGCTTCTGCCACCCACACAATGACAGATGTAAATTTTGTGATGCCTTTTCATTGTGTCTATTATTATTGATTCATGTTTTTTTTTTTTAAATTATATTTGTTTGCTTAGGCCCAGCTTGTTTAAATATTTCAAATAATTCTTCCATATTTAGGCACATAAGTAGCTAACCTGATTTTCAACAGTCCTTGGTACCCAGCAGCTTCAGCAGTGTTGAAAGTCAAGATGCTTAATTAGGAGCCTAAATGGTGGTCTTGGAAGCCTAAAGTTAGGTTACTAGTTTTGAAAATCTCTTCCTTTTTCCTCTTATTCTTTGGGTGTATAATGTATTGGCTCTCCCAGTAATTAGTGAGAATTAGCAAGGTTTTATTGTAGGTAAGCAGCTAACCATATTTTAGGTTGGAATCCATGGATTCAGTATTTCTGTGCTGCAAGTTACTAAAGTATATCTTGCATACATATGTGAGACGTGCACAGACAGTGCATGTATTTATCTAGTGTTGGAGGCACCAATATGTAGTGTGCGATCAAATCTAACGTTTCTCTTTCCTTTTTTTTTTTTTTTTGGTGTGTGTAGGCGAGAGGTGCAGATATCCCTGAGATTCCAGGGGAGCTGCCTCTTCGGACGTGCGGCAGCACAGCGAGCATGAAAATGAAGAATGTGAAAAAGTAAGAGCAATGGGCTTATTTTGTTTGAGAGTTAATTCTGTAGCTTTTCTGTCCTCTGTGCTCCCAGTCCTAGTGTCTGTGATTCTAGCTGTGCTCAAGACTGTCATAGTGCAGTGGAGCCCCAATGCATCCAGAAGCCAGGCTGTAAGCAGTAAAGGATTTCTGGTAGTCTCCTTATCAGAGCAGCGTAGACCTGCTGCCTGGGAAAAGCAAAACGGCCAGTCGGCATGCTCTAAATATTAAAGCTTGGGATGGATGAAGCTTATAGAGGTGGAGGTTTTGTAAACCTTACATGCTTGCTTTTGGGGAGAAGGGTTGCAAAGCTAGTTTGAATTTTGAATCTCACTCTTGCTGTAATTTAAACTGTGGGTTTTCCCCCAAAGATGATTCATAAAAAATAAATAAAAAAAAAAAAGGCTAAAGGCAAGCCTGTGCAAGGTATAAGTGTAGTAGTTCCCCTCTGCTCCTGACACGGAAGGAAAGCTAAACTGGGACAAGTGGATGACCTTTATTTTTTCATTAGAATTTTTCTGTCAGTGTGTCTGCTCTGTTTTTCAGGGTTGGTTTTTTTCTCAGTTTTCACGCTATTTTTTCCTATGGACTGTTTTCTCTCTGCCCTCGTTCTGTTCCCTTTTTGTGCTCATTTGCAGAATTCAACCCAATGATCTGAGAATGGGGTCCAAATTAGTCAAAAATGACTTGGCCCATCCATATTTAAAGTGCTGGCAGAAGGTCCACAGCTACCGGCATTGGTCTGTGCATTCAGAGCAATGATGCTCTATCATGCTCTGATGCTGTTAGGGAAAATGGCTCTTTGTTCTATTGCTGAGCAGCTAGATGCTGTATCTCACTTCCCACTTATATTCCCGTGGGAAGAGTGAGCCAGATAAAGACAATCTCATTGGCTCACAACCAGAAGTATTTATAGGAGTCTGCAGCAGCTTCAGGAGAAGGAAGATTCTGTTGCAGAACCAGAGCATCTCACTGTCAGCCATTGCTGTAGTTGGGGATGCTTGGAGATGATTGTCTCACCGCTGAATTTTAAAAAGCCAAAGGATAAATAGCATTTGTTCTGCACCCTCAGATCCATCAACCCAGAACTGATGGGCTGTGATGCCTTTCACAGGTAAAATTTGACTTTCATGTGTCTCTTATGTCAGGTTGTTTACAGATTAATTTCCCCAGTGCAAGTACAGGTGGAACAGCTTGTCCCTGCATCCTTCCCAGTAGACACTGGCCTTGGTGGTGATGGAATGCACGTGTTTCCCTAAAAAGACAATGATAAATGTCACTTGGCAGTTTAGTTTACCTCCCTCACCAAATCCCTTTCCTCACTGCTTTAGTGCATCAAAATAGCAGCACTTTATGTTCCCTTAGCTTCAGGATGATGGATTGTCTTGGTCAGGCGCTTAAATGTAGATGGTCTAGTCGCATTTCATCATGACATGCAATTCTGACAATTGTTTCAGTGATGTGCATCTTATGGGTTGCTTTTGATGTACTTCAGGTTATCCTTTACCAAGGGCCACTTCCCGAAGATGGCGGAGTGTGCACATTTCCATTATGAGAATGTGGACTTTGGCAACATACAGGTAAGTTTCAGATTTCTTTTACATACAAAATTGGGTTGTGTTTGTCTGACTAGCTAACTAATCTGAGCAAAACACTTCATAGAGCTCCAGATAGGTTTGCTTAGTTTGTTAGAGTGTCTGATAATAGGAAGTTGGAGCAGAAAGGGTCCCTTTTTGGGGAGCTGGTTTGATAAACTGGGCCAATTTATGCCCTCAGTTACATTTGTGCACTCCCTTGAAGTAAACGATAGTATATATTGCACCTGGGTGAGTTGATGGCAGTGGCTGTAAAGACTGCAATTGGCACAGAACTTACATTTTTACGCACAGGTTATTTAATAATGAGGGTGTTTCTTTTTCGTGGGTGTGTGTACATATGTATGTGTGAGAATAAGCATTTGTGCGCCTATTAATGTAGAGTAGTATATATTGTAAGAATAGATTTGAATTCAGGTTTCCCTGTTCTGTTCACATGACCCTAGACCCGGATCTTATATTCCAGCAGCTCTGCCCTCCTTAAGGCAGAATACAACAAGGGACTGTCAGTCAGGTTGAGTTCCAGTCGGTTTGCGATGCCGGTTTACCTTCCTCTGTGAATCTGTAGTTCTCTCCAGGCAGAACCCCCCTTTATTGAGTTGTACCCGAGACTTGTCCTGGACCAAGAAACACTATCAGAGACTCATAAATGGTACAAGCTTTGTCCTCTGTCTTCAGAGACAGAAAGCATCATTAACGCCTTCAGCATGTGCCAGCCAGAGAAGCAGCCTTATAGCTGGAGGAGGGTAGAATCCCCAGGCCACAACCCTTTGACATCTAAACCATTTTCTTTCCTTTAGGGTAATTTGTATAGCGGCTTACCTTGAGAGTTGTGGTTCTGTTTATGTGCGTCTTCTGAACCATCGCTGTGGAATGTTCTGACTGCTAAGGAGTGTTGTGACAGCAGTCGAGTCCCATGTGGGATTTGATTTCTCAAAGGCAGCTGCTGTCAGGTCACAGGGTTGTCCCAGTATCGTTGGTTAGAGGGAGAAGGTGAAACAGCCTTGCAGGAGATGACTTGTATAAAAATAAGTCAACAACGTTCAGGATTTATTGTTGTTATTAGCACCTTTAGGCCTCCGCTGAGTTCAGAGCCCCATTGTGCAAGACACTATATATGCAGACAGTAGACCTAACAGTCTAAACAGAAAAAACAGGCAATGAGTTGGAGAGGATACAGGCAAGAGGTGAAGTGACTTGCCCATGGTTACAGTGGCAAATCAACGATAGAACCCATAACTTCTGAATTCCATATCAGTACCCTCTCCCCTCGACCATACCCACTCTCCATACTATAAGGGTACGCCATCTCCATTCTCATTGGTCAGTAGGAAATGTACCAACAGGAGCAGGATCCAGTCCTTGTACTGCATTGTAGTTCTGGAAAAGTGTGGCTAACTCTGCATTCCTACCTGTGCCTCCTTTTATTTTTTCAGAAGTGACCCTATTAATCTTTTAGTTATTATAAAAAAGGTTTTATAATGGAGTAGCTGCTAAATACATCTCTCTCCCTCTATAGATTTATATTTTACTGCATTGTGCATTCCTCCGAGAATTTTCTTTCGCTTTTGTCATTCAGAGATAGTGAGTATCATAGAATCATGGAATATCAGGGTTGGAAGGGACCTCAGGAGGTCATCTAGTCCAACCCCCTGCTCAAAAGCAGGACCCATACCCAATTAAATCATCCCAGCCAGGGCTTTGTCAAGCCTGACCTTAAAAACTTCTAAGGAAGGAGATTCCACCACCTCCCTAGGTACTCCCTGAGTACTTAGTCTTCACAATGCATAATGCATGTACTTGCGTGAAATTGCATCCTGTTGCATATTATTTTTGCTTAAAATATTTTGAAGACAATTGATGGAATTGCATTTGTGGTTGAAGTATATATTGACTTTTTCTAATGCTGCAGGCTCAGTTACAAGACTGATGGCAGGGAGATGCCATCACAGTGTGAAGTCAGATTGATGTGTTCGTACAAATTTTCTTCACATTGTTCTTCCAATGAATCTGAATCCTGATCTGGGGTAAAATTTTCCAAAATGAGACTTAAGGCTTATCTACATGTGGAATTTAGAAAAGTTAATCTGAATTCACTAAAGGTGTGAATTGAAAGTGGATTGGATAAACAGAATTAAATCTCTGTGTGGATGCTTTGATTTAGAATTAAAGTGGCCTTAATTTTGTTTACTTTAATTCACTTTGGAAGTGAATTGAGCTAAACTGATTTGAGGTCACTTTAATTATGAATCAGAATGCCCACAAAGGGACTAAATGCAGTTTAACTAATCCACTTTAAATTCAAACCTTTAGTTGATTTGGGTGAACTTTTCTGAGTATCCTTGTGTAGCCGTGTCCTTAGGCTCCTAAGTGCCTACATTATTTTTGAAAATGGGACTTTGGATCCCATAATGTAGGCACTTGTGAAAATTTCCCCCCTAGGTTCTTATTTAGAAAACAGTTAAGCACATGCATAACTTAACAGTGGGACTACTCATATGCTTAATGTTAAGCATGTGGTTCAATGCTTCGCTGAATTGGGGCCCTAATTACCTGCCCTATTCCTCTAATTCCTAGTTTCTGCTGAACAGTGACTGCTAGTCAAGTCAAGTTGTGCAGTGATTTTGTAATGTGAGCAAAAACACACTCAGGCACAGGTTGAGATTCATTGCTCTTGTGAACTAAACCACATTTGAGCCCAGGTCTCTAGCTATGAAAGATTAGGGGCATTATGATGCTTCCTTGGTAGCAGAAGACTGAGTATTAAAAGGCCAAAGAAAAAAAAACAAATTAAAACCGTTAGTACAGCATGAATATAGTTCCCTGCGGTAGAGAATAGCATTGGATAGGGCTCACGTATCTTAAGTGGTGCATTTGTGCTAATAAATTGAACTAGACGAGACAATAAGAGTAGGCTGGAACAACATACTTTTAAATGATAGTTTGACACCTAATAGCAAATTACTAACTTTAATCTGAAGGGGTAGTGGGTGTAATTCCCTTTGAAGAACTATTCACTCTTAAAAATTTGCATAATAGACAGGCAGTATTTTATGGCGACATCAGTAATTATATAAAGGGGTCTAATAACAGTTTGGCCAGCTTTCAAATTGATTTTTAATGTTTATGTCATCTGTGATAGGGGTTTGGTGGAGCAATGGGACTTGACAGCTTGAAAATTCACTTCCAGAAACTCGCTCCTCGATCAGTCTCATGAAATGGGTGAAAATGGATTTGTTCTCTTTTTACCATAGTGCTGGATTAACCAAACCATGCTCATTTCTGCATGATTTTCCTGTTAAGAGAGACCCAGGAGGGATATATCTGGTGTGTTGAATGTCAGTGATGAGGTGCTTGGGCAGAGCTGTATCTGGCAATAGTGCTAAACATTGATTGCCTGGGTGGTGCTGGTCAGCATTAAAGAACTGCATGTGGTACTGGATATATCTACTGGGTTTCAGGGATTTAGATGTTCAGCCCCCAATGAAATTAATGGGGGTTGGATGCTGCAGTATCCAAGGAAATTTTTCTAAATCATGACCTGAAAAGGGTTTTTAAAAACTTTTCTTGCTACTTTCCATGGAACACAAACCAAGTGAAATTTATTATACAAATGATGACGAATTCTTCTGAGGACTGAGTCACTAGAGGGCAGTAGAGCTGACGGTTCATGTAGTCAGTAAATCCAAACAAGGTGCCACAACTTATTGTTACTGAAGAACAAGCTGCATCAGTTTATTATAAAGTGTTACACAATCCATAAACCCATTTATTATTTATATGTCCAGCCAGTGCCCCAGCTCAGAGAGTTCTATGACCCCAAGAATCTGGTTGCTGGATGAGTTGCCTTACCATAGTACTGATAGACCAGGTCCCATTGTGCTAACACAGTACAAACACACCAGCTCTGTTCTGTCATTGTGGCCTGATAGCTTTTACATGTGGTTTATTTAAGCACGTTCCTCTGTGGCTGGATTATCATGTTGTGTCCCAAAGGCTGCATGGATTAATGGACTGAGCACAGCCCTGGGTCCCAGAAACTTTTGAGTTCTAATCCTGATTCGATTACTTGCTTACTTTGGCCTCGAGAATGTTAATTTAACCTCTCTCTGCCTCAGTTTCCCCATGTATAAATAGGGATAACACTTCCCTACCTCACGAGGGTGTACTGAAGCTTAATTTATTAAGGTTTGTACAGAGCTTTGAAAACATAAAGTACGATACGAATGTTAACTATTGTCATCTTACCAATCCACTGAAGAACAGAAGGTTCCATTAGTCAGCAGTAAATGAATAAAGAGCCTCTGAAGCATTGCCTTGCTTACTAACATTTATATTTTTTTCCGCATTGAAGCTGTGCAGCAAATGCATATTCAGTCTTGATTTGAGGCACTGAAATGAATGGTGGAAAAATCCTTTCTCAAAGACTTGCACTATCATTAAAAAAAAACAAACCCACAAATCTTTCTGCAAGATTGCTGTAAGGAAAATGTTAGCTCACCAGGCAACTAATGGAATTTATTGGAGCACCCCAGTTGGGATCAAAACTTTCGTAATGGGATGCGCTTTGTTGATCTCAACATTGTAAAGAATTTACTGGTATATTGAGGAAATAAATTATATTTAGTATTGCATGTATCCTTCAGGTTTGCATCATTGAATTTTTAATTATATGCTGAAAGGTCAGGCTCTGCATGATAAATTTTTTAAAATCTAACAATGGGTGAGCTTTCACAAGTCTGACTGGTTTTGGTATGGGGAGGAGGGAAGATATATGTAATGCAGCCCTGTCTGCAGAACATACCTTCTACACCAAATGTTATTATGCAGCAGTCAGAATGTGGTGACTCAGTGTCATTAGACTGGACTGTAATCTTCCCCCTCCCTTGCTTAGCTCCTTTTCCCTTTCCATCCTTCTTGTTCTCTGTCTGGTAATTGTGATGTGGGGCCTTGCACATGGTCCACAGTCCCTCACAATTCAGTGG